GAGGCGGAATGGAGGGGGGGGCCGGTAACGAGGAAGAGAGGAGGAGGATGGAGGGATGATGGATTGAGGGGAAGGAAGATGATGATGAGGAGAAGGACCAAGCAGAAAACGAGGAAGGAGTAGGAGGAGTAGGAGGAGGGATGTGGAGGATGGGGAGGCAGATGAAGGGTGAATACTGAAGGTGGAGAAGACTTAGGCGGGAGAGCAATGTTGTGGATGCCGGTGAGGGGGAGAAGGGCGAAGGGGATGCGTAAGGAGGATGAGGGGGAATGGTGAGGGGGAGGGGGGACTGGGAGGGAGGTAGAGAAAACAGGACAGGGCAAAGGACGACGACCTCCCAATCCTCGCCCTCATTGTCCTCCAGTCCTTCTCATTGCCCCCTCCTCCCTCCTCCTCTTCTCTCACTCCCTCTCCTCCCTCCTCTCCCCCCGATGAGGAATGTGGATGCTTCTGGAGGCCCCCCTGAGGTCCCCTGAGGCTCCTCTCCAGGTCCTGGAGTCCGAAGACCTGGGAAGTTCGATCGCCAAGTGTCTCCTATCCCTGTTCCTCCCTCCCTCCCTCCCCCTTTCTTCCTCTTCTTCCTCATTTTCCTCTTCGTCCTCTTCTTCCTCTTCTTCCTCTTCTTCCCCTTCTCCCTCTTCTTCCTCCTCATCCTGATCCTGATCCTGATCCTGATCCTGATCCTGATCCTGATCCTGATCCTCCTCCTCCTCCTCATCATCATCATCATCATCATCGTCATCATCATGATCTCTCTTCCTCACCCATCACTCCTGCTCCTCCTCCTCCTCCTCCTCCTCCTCCTCCTCCTCATCCCTCCTCCTCCTCCTCCTCCTCCTCCTCCTCCTCCCATCTCCCTCCGAAGGCGGCGCTCGGCGGGCTCCTCGAGGGTTTCGCGGTCGATCCTCCAGGGAGCCCCGACCTCGGCGCGGGGGGCGGTGCGTGCGTGCCCCTCTCCTGAAGCCCTCCGCCCGCCCCCCGCACCCGCACCCCCTGGCCCTCTGCAGGGGAAGTGGGACACACCAGTAGAGACACACCAATACCCAGATGCCCCATCTTGTCCCATGTTTTCTGGGCGTCTGTCTTCCCCCCCCCACTTCCCATGGCTTCCCATATGTTGTCGGGGGAATCGACGATTCATTGTGTCTGCGTGTGTTTTTCCCCTCCTGGTCCTCGCACAGCAAGACAGCATGATAGCGATCCGCAGGGATTGCTACAGTGGGGGCCCGACAACAAGAAACCCAACCCTGAGACCCCAGGACATCCGTCGATCTTTGGCGTGGGAGCATCACGCTTGCCGTGGCAAGACCATCGAAGCCCAGGAAACCCAGGGCACCCTGGAGGCCAGCAGGGTGCTTCTTGGCATGGGCCTCCACTGTAAGGCTCCCGGCCACCCCCAGGCAGCCCCCCAGAGCAGACCGGGGAGGAGGTCTCAAAACACCCTGTTGGCCCCAACGAGCCCCCCCCCCCCCCCGAGTAGATCGGGGCGGTCTCGACACCCCTTGGCGCCGCCTCGGGAAGCGCCCCTGGTGCGCGCCGCGGCCCAAGGCTGGGGCAGTGAGGCTGCCCCGGGACTACTTGGGGGGCCTGTCTGTTGAGGCCAGCCGGGACTACCTGTCGATAATCCTCAGGACGTGTGTTAGCGCCAACGTGTGCTGGTCCATCGCAACCCTTCAATACGACGCACGTGGCGCAACGATGGCCGGCACAGGCCGAACGAGGTCAACACACACACACACATTGGGCTGACACACGTCCTGAGGATCATCGAACCTGGGAAGGCTGTCTGTGAGAAGCCCGAAGCCTTGCCAGCAGGAAGTCAATGACCGCCCCTCCCCCCGGATGCCCAACAGCTACGATCAGCCGATAGTGCATCCCTTCATGATTGGCTCGAAGTGCTGCTCCTGGCCAGGTGGGCAAAACTGTAACTCCAAGGGGCCAGGGAGAGTTCAGACGCTGCTGCAGGCCTCCTGGGAGTTAACCAATTGCCAGGATAAAAACTCAGCGCGCTGAATCGTAAACGGGCTGCCTCTCGGAAGCAAAAAAAAAACAATGTCCTGGAGCTCCGTCTCAGAAGCCCCGGGTTTGCCAGCCTTCGCCTGGCTTCTGATTCGGGGCGAGTGCACAGGTCCCGAGCGTGGGTGCCGCGACACTCGGGCCCCGGCGCAGCCGCTGTTCGTCAGCTCGACGGGCTGAGCGGAGCCCTTCTCCACGTTCAGGGGCACGGGCTGCAGGGTCACCACGGAGGACCGGATGGACAGGCAGCCGACGGACGGAGCCACACTGTGGGCCTTCAGACAGGAGGAGAAGGACGAGGACGAGGAGGAAGAGGAGGAGGAGGAGGAGGAGGAGGAGGAGGAGGAGGGAGGAGGAGGACGAGGAGGACGAGGAGGAGGAGAGAGGAGGAGGAGGAGCGCCTTCAGGTACATCAGGATCGAACGCCCACCGTGGACGTTGAAGACCACGGGTAGGATGTGGGTCCCGATGCTGTGGTGGTTGTACGTCAGCTTGACGTGCGTGTGGTCGCCCGCTGCGATCTCCCCGCTGCGGGGCTGTATATCGTAGATCTCGTGCTCCTCCACCCACGTGAAGTGCGCCTCGCGGTCGTCGATCAAAGCCTTGTCGTCGCACCACGACGGGATGTGCTCGAGGTTGAGGTCCTTCGGGAACTGGAACGAGAAGCGGATGCCCAGGTTGGTGGGGTTCTTCAGGACCAAGTACACCGCAGTGGGCGTCGATCCCGCCGCCGACGTTCCAAACAGGAGCTGGAACGGCTTGAGCTGCTTCACGAGCTTCTTCTTCTCATCGATGCCGATGGCATTCTGGAAACGTCGTTCGACTTCGGTGACCTCCCCCGAATATAACTCATTGACTCCGTCCACCTGGAACTGTGTCCACATCATCGACTGGGGCTGCGTGGTTACACATTCTGTACGTAGATCTGCAATATGAACGCTCGGGTACTGGACATCCGCCCGGAGCGAGAGCACGATGGGCCGGCCACAAGGTTTGCCATCCCCTGCCTGAGGATGATATTTCCAGCGTTAGTGCGAAGGCTGCGCGAGCATATCCATGCTTAGGTCTACGCCTGCAGTAGCGCAACTGTTCGCGCGCAAACCTAAAGCAGACCTGCCCAATGTCCAAGTACACGAACGCCCGCACATCCGACGAACGATCTCACGCACACCCAGGTGTGAACTGAGCGGGGGAATCGGAAATCGCAGAACACAACAAATCGAGCACGCGCGCACCAGTTACATTACATCGATGGCGCTATGCTTCATGCGTCACAGTGCCCAAACCCATGCAGGCCGCCAACGCTTCCTGACGTCAGCACACATGCAGACGCAGATCAGGCACGATGGTGCTGCGGCCACATTAAGACTCGGCGCTGGCAAGCATCCCTCCACGTGAGACCTGTTGCGCACGTGGACGCGCATGTCGCCATCGGAATGAGCACGCGCAGTCGTGTGCACGCGTCAAAAATGGCACGCGCGTGCTCATAGTGGTCGTGGGGCCATGTCGCAGTGGTCGACCTTGACCGCGACTGTGCGACAAGCATGTGGGAGCGATAGTGCCAAACGTCCCCCGAACGAGCTGGCCAGCAGGACGAAGGCGTGCGATAATCCCCAGCACGAGAGCCTCAATGACTGCCCGCGCGCGCCCGAGCGGCAGCCCCCGGGGGGGGGGGGGGCTCCGCGCGTGGGTGGATACTCCAGCCCCTAAGCTGGTCCAAGACAGCCTCCATCAAAACCCCAGCACGCCCAAAGCACCCCAAACACTGTATTCCCACATCATGTGTGGCTTTCTCGCCACTGCGCTTCCGTTGGGCTTCTGAGGCCTCAAGCTGGCTCCGATCTTGCCCACGGTAGCCCCAAGAGGAGGCCAGAAGGGCCGCACGACAGCCTGCCAAATATCCCAAAGAGCGCCCCATGAGGGCTTCAAGAGGGCAAATACCAGCGGCCCAAGAGCGGGAATCAATGGGTGGCCGTCCACAAGATGGCTTCAAAACAGCACCAGGAAGCTCAAGATAGTTCCAGACAGCCCTGAAGAGGCCCCAAGGTACTGGGAGGCCTCTTGGAAGCCCACCAGAGAAACCTCGCTGAGCCTCCCCCTTTGGGAGCCCCCCAAGAAGCTCCGACAGTATACGAAGGGCCTGCTTATAACATCGGCCCATCCATGATTTTCATTATTGTCGCCTTCTTGAATGTCCAGGCTCCGATGGTGGAGCTCGAGTGGGGACATGTGCCTTTGAACATTGCCCTCCGCATAGCGACTGACTCTCCCCCACCCGACGATCACCCGACTGCTTCAGGGCAAATGTCACACATCCCAATACAACAACTTCTCTACGGCAACACGCAAATTTCAGGATGGCGACGGTGATGCAATACGGGCTGGCGGAGTGCGCGAAGCGGTCCGCCGCCCCACCAGAGATCGGCATGTGAGTTCCCTGCCGCACGGTTCTGCGAAAAATACCATTCAGTCCTCTCGTCTACGCACTCCTCGTGTTCACATTTTTTGTTCAAAACCTTTGCCACCCATCCTGAGGCCCTCCCCGCTGCTCACGCCTTCCGTCAAACCCTGCGACCGGCCTGCACAACGGGCGTCCGTTGGCCGCCACTTTGCCCCCACATCGGGCACGCCTTCGCCCGGGAGGCTTCGGGACGCTTCCGGGACGCCGTCTGGGGCCTCCCCAGAGATCCAATCGGGCTGCGCCGCTCATTTCTGGGGACTGCTGCGGGGTCTGGCAACACAGCGAATGGCGAGTCCGACTGAAAAAAGGTTTAGCGTCCCTGCGCGTGTGAATGCAATTGCTCTATTTCGAAAGGTCCCCGCCAGGGAGCTGCTGCGAATGAATTCAGGGTCTGAATTGCATGCCACTGCTGAGCGATTCGTCATAAGAACTGCTGGTGAATGACCCGTGCACACAACATCAGATCAAGACTTTCATGCGTGACGGTATGTCAAGATCGAACTTCATGGATTGTCAGTCGTTGCGCATGTTGGTGATGCTCAGCATGTGCATGTGTGGTTTGAGTGTGACATTTGAATGCAGGAACAAGGCACGCAATGTATGTAAAACGCATGAGTAGTTTACTTATGTTTATTGCCGGCAGCGTTTTTTTTAAGGCAGATGGCAATTCATCGTCACTGGCTCGTGTTTTGAAAATTTGCTAAGTTGTCAACTCCACATAGACATGCTTGATGATCGGATCTGGTAAACGTTCTTGGTGCCTACACCCGACGCACAATGTGTATACGTTTGTGAGTGTGTATCGGAGCTCGATATATCCGCACATTCACTACGCGTGTCATTCGTGCAAACGCCGACATATGGAACTTGCGTGTGGCAAATATAATTGCCTCGAGGCTGAGCACGTGGATGTGTCCCGTGGTTTATTTACATCTGCGAGGCTTGCCTGCTTTTGTGTACTTTGTGGTCCGCGTTGTGTGTCATGTGCACGCGTGCTCTGCATGCTCGTTATGTCTGCGTGTGGATTGTGTGTAAGGCATTTGTGGCTTTTAGCTGGATGACGGTGCATCCTCTCCGTGTAGAACAACGCGGAATGCTGCACATGGTTTCTGTGCTGTGCTTGCTCCCGTTGCCGATAACACTTCTATATGTTGTCACGACATTCATGTTTTCTGCATGTACCCTCTTGGGGTTCGAGGATTCACTCAGCTCTGCACGTTCGTAGGGTCTGCCATTTGTGCCTGCACCACCTTCTGTCGTCATTTGTCGAGCACGCGATGCGGGGGAAGAGGAATGTTCGGTGGGCTGGCGGGCCGCGGCACGGGGGGCTGGTTCTATCGTAACTTCTTGACGCGCGCCGCATGACACTGGGGTCCATCGGGACTAATTGGGATTTGGCGGCCGCAGCATGCGAGGCGGGCGAACGAAGAGGATGCGTTCTTTCGCAAGCCGAACAACCACAACCTGTTGGGCGGGGGCAAGGGGGGGAATCTGCCGCTCCTGTGGTGTCAAGATGACCTGGTACTCGTACACCCCTCTCACGACAGGCTTGAACAATATGCTGAGGGTCTCCGTGCACCGGCCTGCCACCGTGTTGGCGTGCTCGAGGAAGATGGCCTCCTCCGCCACCTGGGCAGGTTGGCGCGAGCTGCGCGTTCCATTGATATCGCTGGCCGCGACTTACGCGCCAGCAGCACATGCTGATACTGCAACACCCTCACAGCCCCCCTCCTCCGCCATGGAGATGCCCACCGCATCTTGGAAAAACGAACGTGGGGGTGAAGAACAAAGGCGCTGTAGGCAGAAGGGAAAGGTCCCCGAGCGGTCAAACAGAATCAAAGTCCACTGCGGGAGATTGTATGAGCGTCAATTTGAGTCACAGGCCACCGTTGTCGAAGGACCATCTGCCTGAAGCGGTGTGTTTGAATCAAGCAACGTAATTGCGACAGCGCACACAGCCGCACCCTCCCATTATATCTTGCATTCGGCACGACGTTTCCCCGCTTCATACCTTTCAAATTCGTCCTTCCAGACCACAGATTTCAATACTTCAAATTTGATCCCTGACACTCTGACACTTCGCTGGCCCGGACAAGAACGAGAAAAAACAATAGGTCTTCAGCTGGAACTCGCAGTGCGCCATGGGACCAATGCACTGCGACCGCCGCCGTACACTGAGAACCCCTCCTACATAGATCTGAAAACGCGCTAGGCAGCGTTTATCGTTTGTCGAGTCATGGCCCTTTCTGGTCACACTTGTCCCTAGCAGTAAAGTTTAACTGCCTTGCTTTGCACCAGTGACATGTGAAGCGGCCGTCCCTCGTCCCAACGTCGATGCATGCCCCCAATGAGAGCCACACGCGTTGCAACAATGCTGTGTCTGCCAGGCCGCTACCTAGAAGCATCGAGAAGGCCTGCAAGCCGGCCCGAGAACGGACCAACTCGTGTCGACGCAGCGCACGGCCGGCACCCTTCCCCTGTCCAGCGATCCTCGATACTCTCAGACGACCTCGAGAAATCATCGAGCGCCGCGCCAAAAAGCACCGAACTGTTTCTAGGATGCTCCCACCTGGTCCTTGCGTGGGACAGTCGACGTCCGAGATGGCACAAAGATCAGGCACAAGATTGTTGAAAGGCTTCTGGCTTACAAGGCCTTCCACAAGACATCACGCCGCCACAAGGCAGGCTGACAGCGGCCCAGGAGCCGCCCGTGAGTGAAACATAGCATGAGCCCGGGGCGGCCCCCGAGATAAGAACAGCCCAGTCCGCCGACCCCCGCTTGCCAGGGGTGAAGCGCGTGCAACATTCTGTTTTCCCCCATCCCCCGTTTTCCCCTCCCTGGGTATCCAAATCCCCGCTCTACAGGCCGGGAGAAGGCTTCTCCGAACGCCGCCCACGCGCGCCCATGCCGATTCACAACGTGTGGGGAAGGACCTCGCCCGTTCCGCCCGTCATATTGTAGAGCAGCCGAACTATATGTGGGCCACACTTGGTCTTCATTGCGCGCACTTGCTTCGGATTTTACGCAGACGCCACAAGCGGAACCAGGCCCAAACGAATCCAAATCAGGGCCGAATCAGGTAACGCATGAGAACGTCTCAGGCGAAACCGCGCCCAAACCAGGCCAAACCAAGGCCACACCAAACACATTCTGAGGACGTCTCACACGAAACCGGGCCTTAACCAGGCAAAGTCAGAGGCCAAACCAAGCAGATGTCGATCATGTCTCAGGCGGGGCCTGCGGCCAAACCAAGCCAGGCCTGAGGCCAAACCAGTGCCTAAACACAATCGCCCAAGCCAGGCTCCATCCACGGGACCCGCAAGCGGAAACCCCTGTAGAATTTTGTAAGTCGGGGCCGTTGGGCCGCGCGTCCGCTGATGCGGACGGGGTTGGGCGCAGAAGCCTTCCTTTGCCTTTCGGGTGTTGTTGGGGCTTCGGTGTGGCGTTAAGAAGGATACTGCCGAGCCCGATCAGGCTCGACGACATTTTCTCCGAAGGCCGCCGCACGCGCCCACACCGATTTACAGCGTGTTCGTAATCGTAATGTCTGCACCCATTCCGCCCGTCATGCTGTAGCGCAGTCGTGCTACATGTGGACCGCACTGGTTTCCGTTGCGCGCAAGGCTATTACTTCGGGTCTTACGCACCCACCACAGCGGACCCAGGGCCCTAACCGGGCCAACCCAAGGCCAAACCACGCAACTGGCGAGGAGGTCTCAAGCGAAACCGCGCCCAAACAAAACCAAGCCAAACCATAGCCGAGCCAAGCAACTCCTGAGGACGTCTCAGGCAAAACCGGGCCCACACAAGGCTACACTGGGGGCCAAACCAAGCAGATGCGGGGCGCGCGGCCAGACCAGGCCGAATCAGGGGGTCTCAAAACAGGCTCCATCCATTTTCCTGCATGAGGTTCGAATTGAAGCAGTGGCTCACCCCAAGGGCCCCTGCGCAGGCGGAAGCCCGTTTCGAATTTAATGCAGCGGGGTGTTTGGGCCGCGCGACCGCTGATGCGGACGGGGTTGGGCGCAGAAGCCTTCCTTTGTCTTTCGGGGGTTGTCGGGGCTGTGGTGTGGCGTTCGAGGGGATGCTCCTGCGTCTGGCTCGGGAAGGCTTTGTCCTAGCGCCGCCACACGCGCCCATGCCGATCCACAGCGTGTCGGGAATGTCCACGTCCATTCCGCCCGTCGCCGGCTTCACGTCAAAACAACGTGGGTGAAACGCGGGGAGGGTAGGGGGGTAAATTAATGGATGGTCGCGGGCGGGGACGACAACGACAACAACAACACTTAATACGAGACTGTTCGCACTTATCAGCTCGCGTGCCGTTCAATTTGTGTACTCCCAAAACCCTGTATACCCGCCCTCTTCGTCTTCGGTCGTGCCCCCCTTGGTGGTAGATCTTCCTTCCCTGTCACGCGGATTTGGCGCAACCCCTCAAACACGGGAGGGGAGGACGGATGAAAGGCAGGGACGGGTAAGGGGGAGGAGAAGCGTGCAGCACGAGAGAGATTAGCAAGAGGGGTTCGGAGCAGAAAGCACGTGGCATAACCAAACGGGCAGATCGGGCGAGTAGACCCCAACGGGTGGTTCGGGAAGGCGGGCCCAGGCGGCCAGGTCGAGCAGGCGGGTTGCTGAAGCGTGGGCCCTGCATGAATCCCGGGGACGTCGACAGATAGCGCGATTCCCAAGTAAGTCGTGAGAATGGCCAGGGCGAAAGCGTGATTCCTGAGTCTTGGGGACGTGGCGTCTGAATACATTACGAGGAGGTCCCACGCGAGAGCACGAGGGGGGAATGTATTGCGAGGTTGCTATCAGGCGGGAGCTGTTGTTGAACTCTCACGACTGAGAATAGTGATTGTAGATCCACCCTCCAGGGCACAGTTTGTTTTTTCAATTGAAGTGCCCTTCCCGGTCCTCGCACTCTGATATGTTCTGGCCCTGGCCCCCCGAGTTACAAGAACAACGGCTCCCGCCTGATACGTCCTCTCAGTTTATTCCTAGCTCGATCTCTCGCGCAGGACTTCCTCACAACTTATGCAGAAAGCGCGCTCTCGCGTGGGACGTCCTCGCAAGTTATTCAGCCGCAGCGCCTTCGACACTCAAGAATCACACTCTCGCTTTGGACTTCCTCACGATCTACCAGGGAATCGCTCGGGACATCCTCGCGATTCATGCAGGACCCACGCTTCAGCAACCCGCCTGCTCGACCTGGCCGACAGGGCCCGCCTTCCAGACCCGCCTGGTGGGGTCTACTCACCCGATCTGCCCGTTTTGTTCTGCTACGTGTTCTGTGCATCTAGCCCACTTTCTTGTTTTCTCCATCCTCCTCCCTCCCCCTTGTCCCTTCCTCCGTCCTCTCATCCCCTGCCTTAGGGGCTGCACGAAATACATGTTGCAAGAACGAAAGATACACCCCCAAGGGGGTACGATCGAATACGAAGGGGGCGGGTGTCGAGGGCTTGGATATACGTGTTGATTAGCACGCGAGCAGGTAAGAGCGAACAGCTTTGAAATAGTTGTTGTTGCTGCAGTCCTGGATCCACCAAGACAATCTGAGCCCCAATACAGTCCCTCGTAAAACAATGTGCCGGCCCCAGGATGAGCACTCAATCGAACAGAAATCATGGAACATTAGGGCTGTTCGCACGTATCTGTTCGCGTGTCGCTCAAAATGTGTATCTCGAACCTTGATACCCGCCCCCCTCACCTTCGATCGTGTCCACTTTGAGGGGGTGATCTTCCTGACTTGCCACTCGCAGTCGCCGCAGCCCCTCCAAAACAAGGGAAGGGCGGGAGGAGGTTAGCGACAAGGGGGGGGAGAGAGGGATGGAGCACGAGAGAGGTCTGCAGGGGGGGGCCCAGGAGCAGGAGCACCGGCGGCAGCACCAGACGGGCTGGCTGGGCGGGGCGGGTGAGGAAGGCGGGCCCAGACGGCGGGGTCGAGCGGCGGGGGGCCGCTGAGGCGTCAGTCCTGCATGAGGCGCCAGTCCTGAGCAAGGGCGCGGCTCCCAGGTAGATCTTGGGCTAGGAGCGCAAAGCACGTGGCAGAACCAAACGGGCAGATCGGGTGAGTAGACCCTGCCAAGCGGGTCGGGAAGGCGGGCCCTGTCGGCCAGGTCGAGCAGGCGGGTTGCTGAAGCGTGGGTCCCGCACGAAGCGACAGGAAGTCCCGAGCGAGAACGCGATTCCCAGGTAGATCGTGAGGAAGTCCAAAGCGAGAGCGTGATTCCTGAGCGTCGACGGCGCGGCGTCTCAATGCAGCGCGAGCAAGTACTACGCGAGAGCGCGATGATGAATACATGGTTCAGAGGCATCAGGCGGGAGCCGTTGCTGTTGTAGTTCGGGGGCCGATAATGCACTCTGACGCCAAAGGCCTTCTCCTGTAAACCACTAGGTGCGAGCCCCGAGAAAAGCGCCTTAATGGAACAAATACAATGGGCACCAGGCAAGGGGGGATCAACACCAACTACTCTTCAGGAGTGAAATTTCCCCGCAACAGCAATACAACCACGATCCGAACCGCGGAACCCTACTTCAAGCACGCGCCCAAGGACATTAAATGACCATTCGGCCCCCTCACCTGGACGTTTTCGACATACTCGCCTCCCTGGTACGGCCAAAGGGGCCCACAATATTATCCCAAGACGGCCCATGAGGTCCCCCGGAGGGCTCGAGCACGGCCCAATACAACCCCAATACTGCACCAGGGACCCCTAAGACGGCCCGCGAGGGCCCCAAGAAAGGCTGACGAGGGGCAATACGAACTGACACCTCGAAGCCCACCAGACGCCCCCAAGAGGCCCCCAACAGGGCTGCCAAAAGACCCCCTGGAGGCCTCGAGGTACTAAAAAAGCAAACTGGATGCCCCAAATCGACTTCTGGGCCCCTGAGAGTCGAACCCTCGCGGGCGTGAACAACAGCACCAAGCCATTCCAGCTCCACCATAACCTACCGAATGCCCTGGAGGTCTCTACTCCGCTGGGGCCCGGCGGAACGGCGTAAGCCGCTGGAACAAGATGGCTTCAAGACAGCTCAAGGAATCTTCCAGATTCGCCCAGGCGGCACCGAAACCATTATCTTGAGACGCTAGCTCAGGGGGGGCCTGGGGATCAAGGAGAATCGCAAGAATGGTGCAACGCTGCGGCCTGGCAGCGCTGCAGCAGTGGTGCAAGGCTTACCCCAACGGTGGCACAACAGCACGGCAAATGCGTACGGGCGTAAACCTGTGCAAATGAACCAATGGTGTCGTATCGGTGTGCCGATATACGCACAGAACCCTGCAGCTCGCTCATGATTGAACCCCCAGCTGCACTGAGACATTCCAAACGGTCACTGGCGAGAAGTCCCCACAAGATTCACGGCCGTTTCTCAGTGGCCACACGAAGAATCGAAACAACTCATCCTGAAACACGTGCTCGAATACGACACCAAAGTGAACCATGAGGCTGGAGGAGTTCAAGATCGACACGGTAGCTTTCACCTCGTCGCACGCCTGCGATTGAACGAACCAACGTTGAGACTCGCGGAAATAAAGGAGTGGACGAGAGATACTCCGAACGCTTGAAAAAGAAGAGGATGCAAGAACAAGAGAGAGAGAGAGAGAGAGCGGGGAGCAGGCGTCACGGTTAGGGAGCAGAACTGAAAGGGGAACCGGGAAAGAGACAGCTTCAGAAAACAACAGGCGCAAGGATCTAATGAATGGACCTCTTCTACAAGATAGTGAGAGAACAACGGGGACAGAGAGCGAGAAGAGACAGAGAGAGAGATATACAGAGACGCATCAACATCTTGGCGTTGCATTGACAGCCTGCATACGAACAACATGAATTCTGAAGCTGTGCGAATACAGCCGATGACGAATACGCCATGCAGAAACAAGCAAACAAAGGAACATGTAATACTATACGGGAAGCGACGAGAAGGGATGTCAAGGGGATGGGCAGTGTGACGAGCACGGATACGTATGCCATGATCTTGATAGACATGTATATGGTAATCTATGTACAGAAAAGGAGGGTGAGAGAAACAACACCTTAAAATAATAGACAGCGACAGAGACAGGGGGACATCGAGCTGGATACCTGTGTATACATGTATATGTTTATTACATTCACGGAGGACTATGCAGAGAGAGAGAGAGAGAACAAAAAAAAAAACAATGAGAGAGAGGGAGAGAAGCATAAAGGATACGTAGGTATGGAACGATAGGGGTGCATATCGATATAACAAGGCAAACGAAAAACGGATAGGGAGAGAGAGAGAGAAACAACAGAAACATACACAAAAAAGGGAGCAGCAGAGAAGAGATTGGCAGGACATCTGAGATGCGGAAGCGCGAACAACTGCTACACATCTGCTCCAAGACTCAGAAGCTCGCCTGGACTCCTGAAGCATCATCCGGGGAGGGAGCTCGGAACTCCCAAATGCGATCGTTGAATAATGTGGGCCCGGGCCTGAGGAGAAAGAAGCGTCCAGCAAGCGCTCGACGGCCAGACTGAGCACCCCCAACGCAGAATCCAAAATGATGAGCCACAGGGCAAGGCACACCCACAAGGCAATCCTCTCCTTGATTACTGTTCACGTCCTGAAATGATTGTGCACGTTGAAACTGCCGCCATCTCTGGCATCTTGACCCAGTGCTTCCCACTGCTCGAGACATGCGCGCGATGACACAGCCCATACCACTAGCTGTTGTCCGCATCACGTTGTTGGAACGATCGCCACGCTACGAAGCCGGTTAAGCCGACGGCACAAAAGGTACAAGACCAGAAGCACCAACTTACATGAGCTCTCCCGAGCCGCACATGCGCATGTGGGTTCTCGACTCTGGGGCCTAGGTCCCACCAGCCCTCTGGGCGCAGATGGTCTAGGGAACCTCCTTTTCCAACCCCCTTCTTCCCCTTCGGAGATGGGTTTACCTCTCCTCCTTAACCCCTTTCACTGGACTTGGAAGAGGGGGACCGCGAGGGGATGGAGCGTCAAAGATGGCCGAAGACGGTTCCAAGAGCGCCTCGGAGAGCCCAAGACGGCCTCCAAGATGGCTACTGATAGCCCAAGATGCCTCAAGATGCTCCAAGAGACCCCACTAGCGCTCTAAGACGGCCTCCAGGATGGCTCCAGACAGCCCAAGATGCCTCAAATCGGCCCAAAATCCTCCAAGAGGCCCCACTAACGCTCCAAGACGGCTCCAGATGGTCACGGAGCCTTCCAGGAGGCTTCCGAGGCCTCAAGATGGCTCCAGGATGGCTCAAGAGAGCCCCAAGACGGCCAAAAGAGCTCCCAAGAGCGCTCCAAGAGACGATGTTAGACACTCTGGAAGGGCAAGACTAATTCGAGCTCTCCTCTTTTTTTATCGATGTCGTCCAAGATGGCTCTAAGAGCGCTTCTAAAGCTTCCAAGAGCGCCCAAAGAAGGCCCCGAGAGGCGCCCAGACGGCCCCAAGGGGCGCCAAAGGGGCCTTCGAGAGGCTCCCAAGAGACCCCCGAGGGGACTCAAGAGGATCCCCGAGGCACCCAAAACGCTTTACATATTCCCCAACAGGCAACTAAAAGCGTTCCAAGAGTCATCTGCTCCTCCTCCTGCACCTCCTGCACATCCTCCTCCTCGTCCTCCTCCTCCTCCACCGCCTCCTCTTTCTCCTGCTCCTCCCGGTTCTCGCCGTCCTCCTCCTCCTCCTCCTCCTCCTCCTCCTCCTCGTCCTCCTCCTCCTCCTCCTCCTCCTCCTCCTCGTCCTTCTCCTCCTCCCTCGAACGATGGCGGCTGCCCCTCTCTAAACTCCTACGGTTCCCCAGTCGTCTCAAGTCAGCCTGGGCGTCAGTTTTGCATGCGCCGGTGGAGGTCTTTCTTGTCGCAGCCGCAAGCGACGGCGCAGGCGGCGTCAAGGGTCGACCCGGGCTGCGGGCGGAACCGAATTCTCCAGCGAGCGCACAGCCGGTGGAGGCACGCGAAGCGTCAGTACTAGCCTGGCATGCCGCGCCCGCACCCGGCGCGCGGACAGCTCGGGCCCACCCTCGCTGACAGCGGCGTCGCTTGCCTGTCCCCCCTGCGCTTGCCATCGCTCTATCCTTAGGTCGGGCATGTCCCTCTAAAGGAGGCATGCTCGAGAAGAGGCAGAACACATCCTGGGAACAATTGTTGGGTTTTTTTCTGCCAATGCTTGAATCTGCTATGCACGGTCTGCATTTTTCCTCCAAAATCCGCCTGCAGGAGGACATGCCCGACCCGACTCTATCCCTTCACGGCTTTACCAAGGTGAGGTTCAGAATGGGGGGAGCCGAACGGTCTTGCACCATCCCTGGGTGCATGGGTGCAAATGGGATGCCGTGGCCCGGGGATCTGCTTGTGTGCTGTTGTTTGTTGCTTGTTGTCGTCGTCCCACCGCGTCTCCCCACGACCCCCCCCGCGAATCCCCCCGCGACCCACTCCGCGACTCACCCGCGACCCCCCCGCGACCTCCCTGGGGCAGGCGCCGGGTTCTTCTGACGTGGCGAAGACCACCTGGGGCGAGAGAGAAGGGGAAGGAGAGAATGGACGCGAACGCAGAAAGGGAAGCACCATCACAGCACCCAGGTCGACAATGTCGGGCTCCAGGCTGAGCGCTGGTCCCCTGCCGTGGCCGACGAACTGGAGCTTGTACGCCGGGGCCTGGTGCCGCGAATTGCGAAAACTGCTGCGACCCCCGCGACAGACACACGCCATGCAAATACCCCCCCGCGTGCTTCCGGTCTACAAGAGCTCGGAAGACACTGACGTCCCAGCGGCATCGGAAAAGGGGGGGGGGCATGGAGCGACAGAATTACCTTCAGTTCAGGGCCCGGAGCCAATGGGGCGCCGTAGACGCACGCCGACGCTCAGAACAAGGCCCCCAACACAATACATGTGCCAATGGGTCATACGTGTCGCGACCTATTGCACATATGTGCCTACACACCCGCCGTGCCCCCCCCCCCCCCCGCACAATGAACCATAGCATTTCACCTCGAATTCGTTCTGCGCATCATTATTCAAATAATATATCTCTGCCTACGAGTCCAAATATAATCATTGCGTGGTGCCCATCGACTGTAGCAGCGTGATGCCGCTGGGATAACCGACGACTTGTGCGTCAACCTGTGCGAACATGTGCATGTACATACCTCTGAGTCGTATTTGGTACGATCCGTAGTTCCACAGCAGGACTTACACCCTGTACAGTTGTTCTGTGTATGCCAATGCCGCCACCCTTTTCTTTCGATGCATGAGCCTCGCGATTTCAAGTGTAGCGCGGCAAGGTGCATGGAACGAGGCTGCCGTATACCGCACGAGTAGTGGCAGACAGGCCTGGGCTGGAGCTGGTGACATGTCCAGCCAATGAGCCAGCGAGCTCCCACGATCCACGCCGGTATGGATGCCATACGGCATCCAGCTGGTTGCACCAACGGCGCAGCAGCGAAAACAGATGGTACAGGTGAGGACACATCACTAGCTTGCGAGGAGACATAACAGAAGCTCGCATCAGGGAAAACTCAGAACCTTGTTCCGTACATCACTCCAACCGCCCTCCCGATCAACCGATCGACAGCCAAGCAATAAAACTAACTACAACTGCAGCGCGGGGAGCAAATCGCAGTGCGCGCTGCGTCCCGCACCGCCCCCTCTGGGCTGGTGGCTACGTCGAGCTTCACGAGCTCCGTGCCCAAGTGGACACTGATAGCAGACCAGGGCGTCGCCGACAAGGCCCTGGCTACGGCAGCATCTGGCGGGCTTAGTGAGGAGGGAAAACAACGACTCAAACATAAAGATACAACCTCCTTCTTAGGCTTAGCGCCGTCACACTTCCAGGCCTCTCAACCCAGAGCCCTTCGTCGGGCCCGCACCTGGCCCCTGGGCGGGCTTCAGCGGCACGGCGTCCACGATGCCGGCCGGGGCAGGCTCGGCCTCGCCGCCCTTCGCGCAGGCGGCGCCCTCCCCGCGCGCGCGGGACACGACGGGCTCCGTCTGGCCGATAGGCCGGCCGATGACGATGCGGTTGGACTCGGTGGGGGGCAACACCCTCTCGGTCCTCTTCCGCGCGATGCACATCGCCACCGCCAGCACGCTCAGGCACACGACGAGCACGCCCATCGCGACCACCACGATCGTCAGGATGCTCGCCGTCTCCCTGTTGCCCTGGATCTCGTCTTGCTGGCTCCTCACCAGTTCCCTGTAGGCCTCGACCTCCTCGGCGAGGTCGACGGTGCCCTCCTCTGGCGCGCGCACCACCTCCACCCGCACGGACTCTACGGAGACTCGGGCCCCGTCGGACACGACGCCCGGCGTGGCCTGCAGCGCCGCGAGGACGTCCACCCCGAGCGTCTCGGACCGTCGCAGATTGACGAGCGCAAGCGTCGCCTTGAATGCGCCACGAGCTTCAAGCGAGGCCTCAATTGTTAACTTGCTGTCCTGGCTGAACTCCACCACCACGTCGTCTGAGGTGTAATCGCCCCTGGCCGCCTCGACGATCACGCCCTTGACGGCCTGTGCTGCAACAACCGTCTGTACCAGCTGTATGTACTCGACCCCTTGGAGCAACACCGTCGTCAACACGGTGTCGACCCTCTGGGCGCCGCCGTCCACGCCGTCCAGAGCAGCCTGGAGCAGCCCAGCGCTGTTGAGCGCCTCAGCGTGCGAGGTTAGCTCCTGCACGGTGGCGTTGTACCTGCTCCAGGCCGCGTCGGCCTCCTCCTTCGTCAGGCCCGCAGCCATCAACGCCTCCACGAGCACCTCGGTCGCGTCGGCGAGGGGGCCGCCCAGGTGCAGCAGCTGCTCCTGCAGGTCATGCTTCTGCTGCTCGCTCAGGCCCGCCTGCACCCACAAGTCCATGGGCCTGCACGCGGCCTTCACCCTCTGCTTCCAGGGCCAGGAGTTGGTGCAGCCCTCCATTAGCCAGCACTTCTCCAGGGTCGAGACGCCGCCGTGGTCGAACTTGCCCTCGGGGTCAAAGGTCCACGCGCAACGGTAGACGGGCCGCCCGAACTTGCATGTCCAATGGCACTCCTCCATGGCCGACATTGTCGAGGTACCGCTCAGCGTGCAGCGGTCTAAGTTCAGGACGTAGGGGTTGTGCATCACGTAGTCGTGCATCGAGTCGCAGGTGAGCCCCAGTTCGTGTTCGGCCTCGGGGACCTGGCAGAAGACGTCGACGTCCCAGAACAGGGTCCTGTCGTTCCCTGGGATCTCCTCGTAGCACCCGTCCGTCCAGTGGGAGAAATTGAACTCGATGCGCAGCAGCGGGCTGCAGGACGACTCGCACGACCACTCCGCGAAGCCGCAGTGCGGGCAGTCCTCCGGCGTGGGCATCGGCTCGACGAACACGGGCTGCACGGGGCACACCACACCAGCGCCCACCGCCAGCGTCCGCGCGAGCGGCCGCGGGGCCATGGCCCCCGAGGGCTCCCGGGAGGCCGCCCGCCTGGCGCCGCTCCCCGCCTGCGCCGCCCCGCAGCAGGCCGCGAGATCCCGGCGGCGGCGCGGAGCCCCCCGCGCAGAGGGCCCGCCGGGCCGCCGGGCCACCCACCCCACGGGTGGACGCGCTTGAGCAAGATCGCGTCGTGAACAAATTCGGACAGAAGATTTTTGGCCATTTTCGGCCTCGGGGGGCCCTCGCCGGATCTCGGGACCTTCAAAAAACGACTCAGGATGAAAAACCGGTCGCGGGGAAAGGGTCGGGACTTCCACGGACCCCGTCTTGAAAAAATCAGGACGTCGCATGTCTGAGTATGTGTGTCGCCCATGAATGCCATCATGCGCGTGCGTTCGGTGTGGAACCGTCGCAGAAACGAACACTTTACAAATGGACCAGGCGGCCTTCCTAGTTGCATGCGCTGGTGGAGCTGGCACCAATGGAGCAGCCATGTTTGAGCCTCTATGAGTTGCAAATGTCGAGGAACTGGTGCGCTTTCTACAGAAAACTAACACAACACTAAGACACTGGCTTCAAGACGTCAGGACCTGGCAGTGTCTCTTTCCTGCCCTGGTGAAACAAATATGTCTGCGGCAATGCTGCCCTCGCGCTCCACCCCGCCAGCCTGCATGCCTCGCCCAGCCTGCGCCCACTTCCACGTCCCGCAAAAAGAAGCGTATGAAGGCATACCATGCCAGGACTACTGGAAACGATTGTCTGCAGAGTGCCGTCCGAAGGCCACCTCAAACCCACGGCCAGATGTTATCAGAGATCTGACTAGAACGTCGGCACCTGAGTACTGCAGAGATGCACTGGTAGGCCCTCACGGGCGACGCTCAAGAACAACATGTTTCAAGAGGGCGTCTGCTGATCGTAAGCGAGGGGGTAAGATCGCAATGGAACGGAGAGCCCCCCACCAGGAAATCGACTTCAGTGTCGTGTTCGTGTCGCGCGTGCGGGCGAGGCGAAGCTGCATGGTCGCGCGAGAGGAATGATGCCGCCGTGGCCCGCCCCCTGCGCGCGGTGGCCGGGGATGTCCCGTCGGTGGCGCGGCGGTGCCCCGTGCGTGTCCCGTCGGTGGCGCGGCGGTGTGCCGTCGGTGGCGCGGGGCGTCTCGACGGTGGCGCGAGGTGTCCCGTCGGTGGCGCGGTGGTGAGATCGATCGTGAGATCAATACTGAGATCTGTTGTGAGATCGATGAACGAATATGTTGTGAGATCGAAAGTGAGACGTGTTGTGAGATCGATATTGAGTTCCATTATAAGATCGATGGTGAGATTGCTCGTGAGATCTACAGTGAGATCGACAGTGAAATCGATACTGGCATCGATCGATAGATCCATTGTGAGATCGATTGTGAGACCGATAGTGGGATCGATGGTGAGATCTATTGTGAGATCGATAGTGGGACCGATAGCGAGATCGATAGTTACTCCGATTGTGAGATCGATCGTGCGTTCGACTCTCAGACCAATGGTGAAATCGATTGGGAGATCGATCGTGGGATTTGTCGTGAGATCGCTTATGAGATCGATCGTAAGTCCTATTCTCTGATTGATAGTGATATTGATTGTCAAATCGATAATTTGATCTGATGTGATATCGATGCTGAGATCGATAGAGAAATCGATTGTAGGATCGATCGTGAGATCTGTTGTGAGATCGAACGTATGATCTTTTGTGAGCTCGATCGTGGGATCTGTTGTGAGATCGATGGTGGGATCGCTGGTGAGATCGGTCGTATCGGGATAGACAGTGACCTCGGTACTGCGATCGATAGTGATACTGATTGTGAGGTCGATTGTGCGAATGGGATCGATGGTGAAATCGATTGTGAGATTGATGAGATCGATGGTGGGGCCGATCGTAACAGCTGTTGTGAGATCGATAGTGGCTCCGAATGCGAGCTCGATGGTGCGTTCGGTTGTCAGGTCGGTGGCGGGATAGATAGTGAGATCGATCGTGAGATCGCTTTTGAGATCGATCGTTAGATCGCTTGTGAGATCGATCGTGAGTTCGAATCTCAAATCGATGGTGAGACCGATTGCAAAGTCGATCGTGAGCTCTGTCGGGAGCTCTGCAGATTGATGGAATGAGAGGCTGGTTTCCCCTCCCCACCCCGAACCTCCATATCATCCGAAGGGTGGTCGTACAAGTATGAAAACTCCCCAATCAATGCTTGCACTGAACGAGTCCTAACCGACATAGAAAGACTTGGCGAAAAAAAACGCCAATTTTGGTGGTCGGATGGGTTCCCGGGTTCCCGGTTCCGGGTTCCCGGGTTCCTGGTTATTGCTTCCGGGCCGATTTCGGTGGGTTCCGGGTTCCCGGGTTCCCGGGTTCCCGGTCGACCTCCTTATCGACCTCTTTATCGATCCCATTTCAAGCCGTCCACTGATTGAGGCTTTTCTCTGGTGTAATATCTTTGTGGACTGGCTCAGGGGGTGAAGCATCGACCTGGAATCGGCGATGATTCGCCGGCAGATCGGCCATAAGCACCCCCGATTGCAGATATCTGAGCGCCCCTCGGCGGGCGGGGTCTCGGACCCCTGTCGGAGACGAGTGTGCGACTGGGGGTCGCACGCATCCCCTCCTGACCCTCTCCCCCCCAATGTTGCCCGCGACTTCTGATCGAGCCACTCAGGTCCTGGTAGCGATAGAAATCTGGGACTCCGAAGAACGGCCCCGGATTTAGAAAAGCCGCCCAAACTTGAATGTCGTAATCCGGCTTCTGCGTTTACGACATGATGTGTTGTCCTGTTCTGTTCCGGCGGCGCAATCAATGAATCCGTTTCTCGCTTTGATGAATCATCGTCTTCTCAATACTTTGTTCTACGAGCGCGCGTTCATGCGTTACCATGACCTATGCTCGCCGGTGGAATTCAGACACGGACTGCAGTCCAACCCTGCCAATTCCGACGACTCCAGACAAAACAGCTGGTTGTATGTGCTCTGGGCGGAAGGACATCTGGGCTGATTCCCCGCCTGCCGCGCCCCGGCTCGTGTCACGCCAGTTGAAGGCTGGGCAGTCGCCCAGTCCACCACTGCTTCTCCGTCCAGGAATCCATGCAGACTGCTCGCAGAAACCGGAGAGGAATACACTCTTGGATCGCGGCGAGGGTTGCTGAGAGGACAGGGGGATACAAGTGGATGTGAAGGTGGGTGTTATCCAGCCTAACCTAGCTTAGATCTGGATTAAGTGGGCGGAGCCCCCTTAGCGGAGTTACCTCATCATCCTAAGCCACATAGTGCACTTGTAACCCACATATAAGGTGGGTAAGGCCAGATAAGACCCACGTTGGGTTCCACTCCTAATCCCCCATCCTGTTCAAAACGTGGTTCTCGCCTCAGTGCCTCGACGATTCGTCTTCAACTATGGTAGCAGTTGTCAGTTGTCGCGGCGTGCACGGTGCACGTCCCAGGTATGACATTCTGGCACGATGTAAAGATATCAGGACGCGACAGTCGCGTTGATCCGCGGCTTTCAAGTCACAGGACAAGATTTTGGCGCGAGTGGCAATTTTCAGGCGGTTGTCTTCTATTGGGCCACTCCCCGCACTAACGATACATTCGTGTAGGGTCCGATGCGGAGGGAACTTGGAGGGAGGCTCCATGCAACCTCTTTGATGCGACTTAGGTTTACAGCGGTCCTCCTCCTCCCGTTGCCTCGTGTACCCTTCAGACGCGGCCATCCCCCCCCAGGGCCGGTCGGCCCTGGGGAGGGGGGACGGTTGATCAAACTGGTGTGCATTATATGGTCAAGGTCGCCCGAGGCGTTGCCAGCGGGGTATATGCGTAACTTACTCTCGTCCTCCCCCTGCCCCTCCTCCTCCTCCTCCTGCTCCTCCTCCTCCTCCTCTTCCTCCTCCTCCTCCTCTCCCCCTCCTCCTCCTCCTCCTCCTCCTCCTCCTCCTCCTCCTCCTCCTCCTCCTCCTCCTCCTCCTCCTCCTCCATGCCTGCTCCGCCCCATCCGCTCCCCCACCCCTTGGTCCACGGCCTCCGCCGCCCCCCGCCCCCTCGCGGGCCTCTGCTCCGCCCGCCCCCTCCTGCTCCTGCACCTCCCCCCCCGTGCTCTCCGCCCGCCTCCTCCCTCTCTGGCCTCTGCCGCCGCCCTCCACCCGCTTGCTCCTCCGCCTCCGCCCCCGCCTCCCCTCCAAGAAGCCACCGAGGAGTCCCCGACAGGTCACTGCCATCTCGGGGACTCCCTACGCACCCCAAGCACGAGTCATCCGCGAAACACTTCGCCTGCCTCATCCTGTCCTCCTCCTCCTCATTCTCCCCCCCCTCCTCCTCCTCCTCCTCCTCCTCCTCCTCCTCCTCCTCCTCCTCCTCCTCCTCCTCCTCCTCCTCCTCCTCCTCCTCCTCCCCGTTGGCTCTGGCTGGCGCTACGGAGCCGCGCCGGCGAATGTATAGTATTCCGGGAGCTGCTTCGGAGGCGCCTCTCTCCTGCTACGCCTGGCGCATCTTCTCCTCCTGGCCCTCTCCCTGGCCCGCCTCCTCCTGGCCCTCCCCGGAGGAGGCCGGCTGCCTCCTCCACGGTGGCGGCCGGCCGCTTCACCAGCGCCTGCAGCGGCCCCAGCACCTTGCTGTCCGGATCCTCGCGAGCTCGTCTGAGCGGGCGTGTGTGTGGCCGGGGAGAGGCCGCGGAAACAGAGACGGCACACGCGAGCAGAAGCTTTCGGAGCTCCGCGCGCTCGGACTGTCCTGGATCGGCGCTGGGCCCCCATTGGCGCCCTCCGCGCGCCAAGGATAGGCCGAGAGCCCAGGATCGGCCTGGCCAGGATCGGTGCGGGTGGCCGATCTTATGGCCCAACACAAGAGTGCAAAGGTAAATCTGAGCCAACCCTCATCCTCCTCCTCCTCCTCCTCCTCCCCCCCCGTTTTTCGCTCCAAAGCTCGCAGCTCAAAATCGGCAAAACAACAGACCAACGAACGTCACAGTGCGAACCTCCGGCTGGGTTGATAAAAATACGCCCGCGAAGCAAGGCTTCACAAATCTAGCTTTAGAGGAGACTGCCATTCATCAGGGTAGCTGGTGGATGGCCTTGTGAACACGTGCGCGGTGCCGAAGAGAGATTGGATTCTGACGAGGACCGTACAGCGCAAGACAGCTGGCCCGCTCTGGAAACTCTGCTCCCCCAACAAAGCACACGACAGAACTCTTGGATGGCCACTCTGTCACCCTTTATTTTCGCGAACTTCCGCAGGCCTTCCGCTGGCTTCCGACTTTGTAGCCGCCATGGCTCTACCTCACGGCACGCGTCCAAGGCCGTAGTCGCTGATCATCATCAAGTTGGTGGCACAACAAACTGAGCCAGCTGCCTATACAACTGCTCCGGCAATATTGAGTAGACTTCGAATTTCTACACCTGGTGGTTAAGTATTACCGCAGCCTTGGTCGCCTGTCGGATCCCGCAACCAACTGTTCCAAAGGTAGCCCCTTGGATCCTCACTGCTCTACCTGAAGGCAGCCCTCGCTCATTGCCCCATGAAGCAGGGATAGCCAGCCTTGAAATCACTCCTATCTCTAACACTGGCAATCCCAAGGCGATGACAATATGAAGGACGCGCCCCAGAGAAGATCGTGGAGTCCTTGGGATCGGACCGAAGTCATGCGATGCCAACCTTAGGGGTCGGGATGTGTTTCGGGCCGTTAAGGGGAAGCGGTGAAGCCTCTGTACTCAGCGTATCGGCGAGGCGGCTTGAGTGGTGGGATCAGTGGCTGCCTGCTTCGCAAGTGAGGTGGTGACATCCACGAGGCGCATGGCTGTTGCCACAGATCAGAGGACGCCAACTGTGCACCTTCACCAGGTCCTGGCCAGGACGGGCCCCAGGGTGCACTACCGGTGCACACGCACTTCTTGCCCAGGCGGACGGAGCCGGAGGAGGAGGAGGAAGTGGATGAGGATAAGGATGAGGATAAGGAGGAGGAGGAGGAGGAGGAGGAGGAGGAGGAGGGGGAGGAGGAGGAGGAGGAGGAGGAGGAGGAGGGCCTTTCGTTGGATCCTGGGCCTGGGATGCGCCTGGCCTCGATTGGCGCAGGTGTATAGCGGGCGCCCCTGAGCTGACAGGGCGGGCCGCGGCAAGACCCGCCGCCGCCGCGCGCATTGGCTGGAGGGCGCCCATCGCCGCCTCGTCGCCGCCCCGCGCACTACTTGCAACAAGGGGCCCTCGCCTCCCCTCCCAATCAACTGGCCGCGCCCCCGCACACGTTCTTACCAGCGAATGGGAGCCCGACGACGAAGACGACGGACGACCGCCGACCGCCGAACGACAAGCGCGGGGGAAGGGGAAGGGGAAGGGGAAGCGGGAGGCGGGACACGCGCCGGGCGCACACACTTCCCCGTCGGCGGCGAGGCAGAGCTGGCTGCACCAGCGAGAGAGCTGGACGGCAGCACGGGAGAGCGCATTGGCCAGCATCTCGCCATCGCTCGGACGTCCATTCCCCGTGCATTGTTCGATTTCGCGCGTGTTTTTTTCGCGACATGATCAAAGATGCTCCTCGATTGTCCTTGCCGAGAAAAAATGCACATGTCCGAGCGACGTCAAGGCATGCGAAGAGCGGGAAGAGGGCAGAGCAGGCGGCCGCGGGGGGGGGGGGGGAGAAGGAGAGGCCACTGTGGGGCGCAGCGCCCCCCCGCACACGTGCAGCTGCACACGGCGGCGCGCCGGCGGCGACGATGGCGTGCGGCACGCGCCCCGGTAGGAGCGGTCGCAAGGGATGCGAGGGGCGACGGGGCTGGGCAGGACCAGCCAACACCGAACCAGCCTTTCGCAGCGGGGTGGAGCGGGCATCGGACCGGGCTGCATCGGCGCGGGGCCGGAGTTGGATCGGATCGGCCGCGCCAGGGTGCACAGCAGCGCCATGCAGGCATCGGGATGCATCGGATCGTCGGCATATCGGAATCGAATCGGATCGATCAGGCCGGAGTCGAACTCGAATCGGATCGAACGGATCGCCATGGACACTTGGCTGCGGTGGGTGGAAGTGAACCAGTTTCGAAGACGTCACGCAGAACTCAAACGCCGGAAGGCCGCTGGCGGGGGGAGAGGATGTCCTCTATGCTGGCGGCGCTGCAGTACAGCGGCGCAGAGAAGGCCTGCCCTCCCACCACTCTGTCCTTGCCAACGCTCGCTGGCGACCCAACCCCCGACGTCGTGATTCTTTCGCGACGTCGACGCCCAGAGGTCTGGACCCCTTCCCTGGGACCAGTTTTTCGTCCCGAGACAATGTCTGACGGTCCCCAGGCCACGGAAGGGCCCCCGGAGGCCGAAGATAGCAACAAAAGGGAACCTCCCGCACTATTTGTTTCACATCGCGAGGGGGTCTGGGGAAACTCCTTCCTTTGGATGCCCTCCTCCCCTCCTCCTCCTCTGGGACCACCCCGTGAAAGCTCCGTTCAGTGACGTGTTGCTCTGGGACAAAACTGCACAGACCATGGTACGACAGCGGAACGAAACTGGAATGAAACTGGAACGAAAAAGGAACGAAACTGGAAGGACACTAGAACGTCCCACCGTTGATAAAGACGAACATGGGAGGAAAGTACAGCGAGCACGCATAGAAAAGGACACGCATTTTTGCACACCTCGAGGGCCCCGAGACCTTACACCCAAGGTATCTCGAGGCGAATCCAGCAATGGCGGTGAAGGCAGTGTCACGGCGTTGGCACATGTTCCTCCTCTGGGCCTACGCGGGCCGCCTACAGGCAGCTTCGCACGCAATGCAGCTAATTACCTGGAGGGAAGTGGATGACATGCTGACTTTTGCGGGACGCATCCGGATTGGTTAGGTCTCCTACGGCCACGAAGTCTTGCTTAGCGTGCCGCTGCAGTGGCACAGGCGATACGCCATGCCCTGCGAACTGATGGCGTGTCTATCCGCTCCAAGAAGCGGAAGGATGGAAAGAGCTTGGAACTTTGACACCTGGGGACTGGGACAAGGTTAGCGTTAGGTCGGGCATGTCCCCCTTCAGGCGGATTTTGCACGGAAAACCAAGAATACCCACACCAAATTCAAACATAGCCCAGAAATGCGACAAAAATTGCCCCCAGACTATATTTTGACTATTTTTGAACATTCCTCCTGTAGAGGGACCTGCACGACCTAAGGTTAGCGTGTCGCGCCACAGCAAGGTGGGCCAGAAGACGCGAACCAACACTCCGAGCAAACGCTCCTGGTTTACCAGCCTGGACCCTATCCCTCTCCCTATGCTGGGCACCTCGTCATCACGATGCAAATCTTAGGGATTCCCCTATTTTTTGAGGGCGAATCCCTAAGATTGTCATCGCCTTATTTTTTGGGGGCGAATCCCTTATTTTTTGGGGGCGGATCCCTTATTGTCATCACGATGCAAACCTTAGGGATTCCCCTATTTTCTGAGGGCGAATCCCTAAGATTGTCATCGCCTTTTGGCGTGCCAATCTCAGGGACAGGGATACGTCCGAGTCTGGTAACCGGTCGACCTCTTCGCACTCCGGCCCAGGCCGCAACGCGCGACGCGCGCTCGTCTTCGCGCCCCTGCGGGCGGCCCGGGATTTGCTCCACGTTCGCCGGGAGATCCGCGGAGTTAGCTTCAGGTCGGGCGTGTCCCCCATACAGGTTGCTTTTGGGCCGAAAGGTAACAACAAAACCAAACAAACATTCAAACATTGTGAAACAGATCCTCAACAACTCGTCCCCCGACTAGTTTTTGACTATGTTCGAGCATTCGCCCTGTAGAGGGACGCGCCCGACTGAAAGTTACCTCGATCTGTCTGGTCCTACCTGGATGCGTCTGCGTTCGCCAATACTTGTAGGCGTATCTGGCTTGAGCGGCAGGCCCAGAGGCCGGATCACTTCACTTCAGACGAGGGGGGCAAGGAGGGCGGCGAGGGGGAGGAGGAGAAGGCGAGGAGGAGAAGGAGGGGGAGGAGGAGGAGGAGGAGGAGGAGGAGGAGAGGAGGAGGAGGAGGAGAGGAGCAGGAGGAGGAGGAGGAGGAGGAGGAGGAGGAGGAGAGGTGAGAAGAGGAGAAGGAGGGAGGAGAGGCGAGGAGGACAAGGAGGAGGAAGAGTGGAGGAGGAGGAGGAGGAGGAGGAGGAGAAGAAGGAGGAGAAGGAGGAGGAGAAGGAGGAGAAGGAGAGGAGAAGGAGGAGGAGAAGGCGAGGAGGGAGGGCACGAAGCTTCCTGGTCACGTCGCTCCGCCACCTGTCACCTGTGCATGGCGCTGCTACAAGATGAACCTCAAAACGCCATAAACAAAAACGTGTGGCGCTCCGCGCGGCTTTCTTGGATCTGCGCTGGGACCCCCTGGCGGCGCTTCTGGCCCTGCGCCTGGCGCGCTCCCCACGCCAGAGCGGGGGGTCCAGGGCAGATACAGGAACTCCGCGCAGAGCGCCAAGCAAATATGTAGATGGCACTTCCTGTTCTTGGCCTTTTTGCGCAGATCGAAACTGCAGCAACGGAGCTGTAGCGTCAGTGCCTCCCTCCTCCTCCTCCTCCTCCTCCTCCTCCTCCTCCTCCTCCTCCTCCTCCTCTTCCTCCTGATCCTCCTATTCCTCACCTTCTCCTGCTCCTCCTTCTCCTCCTCCTCCTCCTCTCTCCTCTCCTCCTCCTCCTTCTCTATCCTGCTCCTCTCTCCTCCTCCTCATCCTCCTCATCCTCCTCCTATCCTCCTCTCCCTCCTCCTCCTCCTCTCCTCCGTCCCCTCCCTCTCCACCTTCCCATCATGCCGCCCCCTCCTCTGCCTCCTGCAACTCCTCCTCCGCTCCTCCTGCAACTCCTCCTCCTCCTGCATTCCTTCCTCCTCCTCCCCCTCCCTCCTACCTCTCCTCCTCTCCTCCTCCTCCTCCTCCTCCTTCTCCTTCTCCCCTCTCCACCTCCCTCCTTTTCCTCCTCCTCCCTCTTCTCCCTCCTCCTCCTCCTCCTCCTCTCCTTCTCCCTCCTCCTCCTCCTCCTCCTCCTCCTCCTCTTCCCCCCCCCCCTCCTCCTCCTCCTCGTCTCGTCTCTTCCTACCTCCTCCTCCTCCTCCTCCTCCTCCTCCTCCTCCTCCTCCTCCTCCTCCTCCTCCCCGTCCTGGTCATCACCTCCCTCCTACGCATGGCCCGCTCCTTCGGCCCTGAATCCCAGACGGGCGGCACCTCCCCTGAGGGCCACTATTACAGCGTCCGCCGGCGGGCCACCCCCCCGCCCCGCCTCCGCCGGGGACGGGCACAACCGCCTCTCAACCCCTGTCGCAGGCGAGCCCCTCCCTGAGTCGCCCTGCTCGTACCCATCTCCTCCCCTGAGAGGCCTCCTAGATGGGGTTGGAGTAGATGGGGTCAGAGGATCGCGCCGCAACGGCGATGCATCGGCGATGCACCAGCGATGCATCGTCGACGTGGGCGATGCATCGGCGACGTCGACGTGAAGTTAATCGGGCTCCACATCGAGCCGAAAGGGCGGTCGGCGATGCGGCGCGATCCTCCGACCCCATCCACTCCGATCTCAGTTAGGAGGCCTAGACCCCCTCCTCCTGCATGCTCGTCCTCCGCACCCTCCTCATCCACCCCCATCACGTGATCCTCCCAATCCGCCTCATCCGCGACCTTCTCTCCTCGTGAGCCTCCTCCTCCTCCTGATCTTCCTCCACCGCGCCGGGTAGGGAAGGTCGGATGGGGACCCGCTCGGTGCCACCCCCCGAATGTGTCGGCTGAGCTGTAGCCCTCTGCTAGCCCAATGTGGCCCCTCCTGGCTCGTCTTCCCAGCCGCCTCACAGCGAGCTTGACTCCCCTCAATCCACCGTTGCAGGAAAAAAACATAAAAACATGCAACATCATGAAAAATCACCACCGGCGCCCCAGACCCCATCTTCCTGCGTCGTCCTCTGAGGCGGATCGACATGTGAGGGTCCTGGGGCCCGGAACACGCGGCGCGCACTCCCAGCGTGAGCAACCAAAAATGCCACGCCAGGGTCCCAGGGCCAGCGTGCCTTGGCCACGGCCGCGCCCCCTCTCACGCACCGACTCCTCTCAGGAGGGACAGAAGCACCACTGCCACCAGCTGGGGGGGTGGCCGCTCCCTCCCTCTCGAGCTGGTGGCACCTCCTCCCAGGAGCTCTCTGGGGAGGCATGCCCCGAACGAGGTGCCACCAGCTCGAGAGGGTGGGACAGCCACTGGCTGGTCGTAGTGCTGCAGTGGACGCGGGTCCACGAGACACCTGCCACAAGAAATCCAGCCCTGAGACCCCAGGACGTTCACTGACCTTGGCGTGGGAGCGTCATACCATCCGTCGCAAAACCATCGAAGCCCAAGAAACCCAGGGCACCCTGGAGGCAAGCAGGGTGTTCCTTGGCATGACGAGCGAACAACACACACCCATACCCATAGGGAGGTCGGTGGGAGAAGGACTGGCTATGGGTATGGATGCGGGTCGTCGGACCCCTGGGGAGGCCCCCATTCGAGCGGGGACCCCCATCCGACAACGCGCACCAATAGCTCAGTCCGTCCCCCCCTAATGGGTATGGGTGCGTGCTGATCGTTCGTCATGGCATGGGCCTCCACTGCACTTTCGTCTCCGGGGATGCTCCCCCGCCCTTCCCGAGCGGCGCCGTGAGGGCGGCCGCCACAGGGCGGGCCGCCAGCTCCCCCAAGGACGAGCGGGCCCCTCGAGGAGGCCGCGCTGCAGCGGCGCCCGCATCGGCGGCGTCGACGCTGCATCGGCGAGCTCGGGGACCGTCTGGCCCGGGGCAACCAATGCCCGGGTCAGTCGGGCCTTGCATCAGGTCGGGCGTATCCCCCTGCAGGCGGATGTTGGACGAGCAATTGAAAATAAGTGCGAAACAATATGCAAAAATGGTCAAACATAGTTATAAACAGAAGCGTCCCAATAGTACTTGTTCCACTGTTGTTGAATATTCCTCCTGTAAAGGGACAGGCCCGACTTAAGCCTTGCAGGCTCCTGCAGGATCCTGCAAGGCCCGGCCAGATCCTGCAGCATCGTGCGTCCGTTCCGCGTGCCTGTTTCGAGTTCCTGCGTGGCCTAGCTTTCTCGATGGTCCAGCATGCTTCTCGATGGTCCTCGCCGAGAAAGAATGCACACGTCCGGGCGATGCCAATCCCTTGTTCTTTAGGGGCAGAGAGC